GAGGGAGAGATAACTCGTATAAGGCACACCAAGAAAGGAGACGAGGGAGAGATAACTCGTATAAGGCACACCAAGAAAGGAGATGAGGGAGAGATAACTCGTATAAGGCACACCAAGAAAGGAGACGAGGCAGAGATAACTCGTATAAGGCACACCAAGAAAGGAGACGAGGCAGAGATAACTCGTATAAGGCACACCAAGAAAGGAGACGAGGGAGAGATAACTCGTATAAGGCACAACAAGAAAGGAGACGAGGGAGAGATAACTCGTATAAGGCACACCAAGAAAGGAGACGAGGGAAAGATAACTCGTATAAGGGACACCAAGAAAGGAGACGAGGGAGAGATAACTCGTATAAGGCACACCAAGAAAGGAGACGAGGGAGAGATAACTCGTATAAGGCACACCAAGAAAGGAGACGAGGGAGAGATAACTCGTATAAGGCACACCAAGAAAGGAGACGAGAGAGAGATAACTCGTATACGGCACATCAAGAAAGGAGACGAGGGAGAGATAACTCGTATAAGGCACACCAAGAAAGGAGACGAGGGAGAGATAACTTGTATAAGGCACACCAAGAAAGGAGACGAGGGAGAGATAACTCGTATAAGGCACACCAAGAAAGGAGACGAGGGAGAGATAACTCGTATAAGGCACACCAAGAAAGGAGACGAGGGAGAGATAACTCGTATAAGGCACACCAAGAAAGGAGACGAGGGAGAGATAACTCGTATAAGGAACACCTACAAGCACTTGGAGTAACAAAATAGAAAGATCAAGATAATCAACCTCAGAGATTTCCTGTCTGTGTTATGAGGTACCATTATGGGGCGGGGGGGGGGGGAAATAGGCCGCCCAGGCGCCCACCGTCTTACTAGCAATTATGTAATGAGGGTGTTAACTTGGACAGAGAGACAAGGAACCAACAGTCTGCATCTAAGCCACAAATGTAAAACAGAAGTGCACACATCACTGGAGTTCTGAAACAATATTAAAGTCCAGAAGTGGACGACCAACCAGAATTTTCGCCACAGTTTACAGTCAATGCACGCGAAGATGACACCCAGAGATGGATGGAGGCGGGTGATATTTACAGTGTGATGAACATCGGGGGCACGAAATGCTGTTAAAAGTGTCTGTACATCAGAACAAATTTAGAATTATCAGGTAATTCTCTAGCAAGGCAAAGCAATAATGAATAAGCTAGTCATCTTATATCATTATGTCGCAATATCAAATATATGTAACCTCACGCTACTTGCTTGCTTACTTGCTCTTTCGAGGGTGTTGAGTTCGAATTCTAATCGAGACAGAACTGATCTTGGCCGACCTAGCTCAAAAGTGGTTCTGGGAAATAAAAGCGGCGGGCGTGACAACGATGTCACCTGTCGAGTGCCGAATGGTCTTTAAAAAAAAAAAAAGCAGCAATCGTTTGTCCAATATTCTACAAAGGGCCCCTTAGGTCTTGCTTGAACTACGTCACACTCCTTCATGAATATCATTTATGAGACAATTGTTGGTTCTGCACGTTTCCCTGCTAATCTAGACACTACCCGACCTTTCATTTATAGTTTCTCACTCTTCTACGTCGGAGGGGTGTCACGTTGCCTTCCCTCCAATTATATCAGCGCCGATGTAGCGTGTTCTATGCCACACGACGACAGAGCTTTCAACGATCCCAGACTGGCCCTAACCCGAACTCCCCTACCAACAGCCTCAACCTAGGTCACACGAGAGAGACTTTAAAAAAAAAGCAGTTCAACGTGACACCCCTCTGACCTAGATCAGACAGAAAATGTGTAGATGGGCCGGGAAACTTGAACAGGTCCCATTTGTTTATTGATACAGACACAGACTTAAACCATAACATACAGCTGCATCCATACAATATTAAGAAATAAAAACATGCATGTACATGCAGATAATGTTTAGACAGCAGCTATATGTGAGTAACAATGGAGACATATGCATGCAATGCCGGTCAACACATATATAAGAATTCACTCTAGCCTGTAAGCACACAACCGCATGGATAATAATATATACATGCATAACTGCGTATATATCACTATACAGATTATATACAATCGCGTGTGCGTGCGTGGACACAAGCACGAAACAGACCAGGATTCGCCGATATAGATGCTGATGGTCATATGGTGCCATGCTCTTCAACAGTGTGTCCACAAAGATTTGTTGATGGTCATACAGAGCCATGCGCTTCAACCTGTTGTCACACACGTATACTGATGTTCATACAGAGCCATGCGCTTCAACCTGTTGTCACACACGCATACTGCTGTTCACAAAGAGCCATGCGCTTCAACCCGTTGTCACACACGTATACTGATGTTCATACAGAGCCATGCGCTTCAACCTGTTGTCACACACGTATACTGATGTTCATACAGAGCCATGCGCTTCAACCCGTTGTCACACACGTATACTGATGTTCATACAGAGCCATGCGCTTCAACCCGTTGTCACACACGTATACTGATGTTCATACAGAGCCATGCGCTTCAAGCCGTTGTCACACACGTATACTGATGTTCATACAGAGCCATGCGCTTCAACCTGTTGTCACACACGTATACTGCTGTTCACACAAAGCCATGTTCTTTGACCTGCTGTCCTCAGATGGATCCTAATGGTCATACAGAGCCATGCTTCGACAGATGGATCCTAATAGCTATATTTAGCGCGGATTTGTGGCTTGGAAGTTACTGACAGCGTTTCAAAAGCCAATATCAAACATACCAGAGATCAATTCATCCGACTATTTTGAAGAAGAAAAAAAGACTGCTTCCTTGGCGTTCAGGAAATGGCACGAGAGCTGCAATGTGAAAGAGACTGGAAATTACTCTCGTAAAATATTCAAAGACAGCAGTGGGTGCAGATAAAACCCACAGTGAAATAGGCAGACAGTTCCTTTATTTATATCTAAGTATGTTTTTGTGTCTCGGTGGTCAGTCTGTGCGAAATTATTGCTCCTATTGATCCGGCTGGCAGCTGTAAAAAGGTTGAAAAACGCTGATATATAGGAGAAAACATGCACAGAAAGAGATACAGTGCAATCCTACAATCCGAAGAGACATGCAGACACGCATGCAGTAAGATAGCAAATTAAAACGTACGGAGAACCTTAACAATATTTGTAGCGATAGTAGCAGTAGCAGTAACATACATTTTTACAATATTGTAGCAATAATAGTAGCAGCAGCAATAGACATTCAGTAGTACTAGTAAAAACAGCAGCATTCACAGTAGTAGCTATGAGTACATGTAGATGCATTTAAAAAAAAAAACTTAAAAAGAAGTAAAGACATTCATGCAGTGTTAAAAACATAGAGGGAACATAAAGGAGGGAAAACTTAGGTCGGGAACCCAACACACACAAAAACCCAATAAAATCCAAATCATAAAATATCAATCAAAGCGAAATCATTACATATTAAATAAGTAACAAAAAGTCAGTGCGCCAGCCAAATAATCAAATAAAACTGAAGTGTCTTTAAGTAAGGAAACAATGAGGTCCTTACCGCGGCTGTCGTCGCTTTGATCTTCCAGGTAATTTAGGAAGGTAATAACTGTAACAGTAAACAGTGACATGTGGTTAGTGGACTAGATTAGTCATGGTACCGGACACATTCGTTCGTACTCCTGACTCACACTACAGCCGCCAACCCCATTCTCAACACCTGATCACCGGCGTCTGATTACCTCTATGTGTTTGGTGGCTATTGTTTCCCACCAGAATTGCTGCTGTCCGTAGTATTAACCAGCGCTTCCCAAGTTGGTATTTTTGTACACATCTTTTAAGAAGAACTCCATAGTGGAGCATGTACAGAAGGAGTCTACCAAACATCAGTAGAAGATCCCTTGTCAACAATTGTTGCGGCCCATAAGCTCCTAGACAACTTCAGAGGGTGGGCCAACCTGGGTCATGACTTCCAGGCTTTGATCTTCTCCTGCTGCACTTTACCGGATGTTCTCGGACAGAGACACAATTTAACCATTGACGAGCAAATTTATAAATTTTGCATCAATATGTTAAATTTTGGCATTGAAGGATGGATCAAACAAGTTAACTAGAGGAAGACAGGAGTCATGCCTTATGAGAAAAGAACATTCAGAACAAATAAAGAAAGGAGGGAACTGATACCGCAAGACCAACCACACACTAGAAGTACTGTAGTTTACACTTTCAGAAGAAACAATGTAGAGATGAACATCGCTTTCTATTTTAAAATTTAACAGTCTCTGGATTCTCTAATGAACGCTTGATGAGTTGCATAGTACAGAAAAAAGGTAGTAAGCAACCGTCAGTCCACGTGAACCTTGTAGTTTCGCCACTGGTTTTGGGAAAAGAGTCTGCTATGACTGTAACGACCAATGTGGGCGTGGCAGTCTCTGTCACACAGCACAGATATAAGAGTTGATGCATGTCGGTCTAAGACTGCCTCTCAGACGTCCCCTCTCTACAGCTTGCATCCTTTGGCCTTTTTGAAACTGCGACAGTCTGCCTTCAAAGTCTGCTTCAGTAGAAATGAAAGACATTGTAGGCATTCTTGCTCTTTCGAGAACGTATTCATTGGGGTAAAAGTATCGCCAAGATATACCAAGGACGCGTCTCGTACAACGCAAAAGGTAACATCTCAAGTATGAGAATCATGCAGGAGCAAATCTCTAAAACCTGGTAAAACGAAACAACAGTTATTATCTAGGGCGCCCCATACTGTAACTACGCAACCAGTATTCCAGCATGGAGAAAATGGTGCATCTCTTATAACATCTAGCCCTAGTCCAACTTCTAGCTCTGGTCCAGTTTCTAGCTCTGGTCCAGCTTCTAGCTCTCGTCCAGCTTCTAGCTCTGGTCCAGTTTCTAGCTCTGGTCCAGCTTCTAGCTCTGGTCCAGCTTCTAGCTTTGGTCCAGCTTCTAGCTTTGGTCTAGTTTCTATCTCTGGTCCAGCTTCTAGCTCTGGTCCAGCTTCTAGCTTTCATCCAGCTTCTAGCTCTGGCCCAGCTTCTAGCTCTGGTCCAGTTTCTAGCTCTGGTCCAGCTTCTAGCTCTGGTCCAGCTTCTAGCTCTGGTCCAGCTTCTAGCTCTGGTCCAGCTTCTAGCTTTGGTCCAGTTTCTAGCTCTGGTCCAGCTTCTAGCTCTGGCCCAGTTTCTAGCTCTGGTCCAGCTTCTAGCTCTGGTCCAGCTTCTAGCTCTGGTCCAGCTTCTAGCTCTGGTCCAGCTTCTAGCTCTGGTCCAGCTTCTAGCTTTGGTCCAGCTTCTAGCTCTGGTCCAGTTTCTAGCTCTGGTCCAGTTTCTAGCTCTGTTCCAGCTTCTAGCTCTGGTCCAGCTTCTAGCTTTGGTCCAGCTTCTAGCTCTGGTCCAGCTTCTAGCTTTGGTCCAGCTTCTAGCTCTGGTCCAGCTTCTAGCTCTGGTCCAGCTTCTAGCTCTGGTCCAGCTTCTAGCTCTGGTCCAACATCGAGCTCTGGTCCAGCTTCTAGCTCTGGTCCAGCTTCTAACTCTGGTCCAGATTCTAGCTTTGGTCCAGCCTTTACATGGGATATCAAAAATTCTGCACAGGGTGCAATGGAACGGAGAAACAGCTTGCAAGCCCTGTGTGATTAGTGTAAAATAGTATAACAGGACCGGGTCGCCCATTGGCTAGGCGGTAGAGGACTTCGTCGCCGATCGGGACAGTATTTTGGTCTGTCTCCGGTGATCGCATCAACATCGCAGGAATCTATTTCAGTGCTAATTGGTGGCGAGCAAAGCTAAGCTATTTTATATGGCGCACATACCTTAGTCAAAATTATAACCTAAAGCTTCCCCTTAGGGTATGCTCGTTGAACGTGACGATTTTGTTGTTATTGTTGTTGTTGTTGAGCAAAGAAACAGAACCGATGCTGATTATCGTCCTTACCAGCACAGGACTAGGTCACACATACCTGGCGCAGCCGTTACGGGTGCCCCAATTATAACTTCTTTAAATGTTGAACGGGGTATCCGGGATCTACACTGATGGTCTGTCGGCCAGACTGAAGTTTCATGAAATCTCGGGATGCTATCATAAAATCTGAGGTGGCAGCAGAGATAATTTGATACATAAAACAAACACCAATCCCCATGCCCATCCATTGGTGCGAAGAAAAGATAATAATAGCAGTAGTGGTGGCGGCAGCATCAGCAAAAGCTTAGTAGCAGCAGTAAAAAGTAGCATTCGTCCTATTCGTCGCAGTAGCAGTAATCGACAAAAATGGCCCAAATTGAGATTTTTCCACAGACGCGCGTCTGTCGGGTTTTGCCAGCCAAAAACCGACATTTTCCAAAAGTTAAAAATCTTGTCTCAAACTATCATTTCAAATTTCAAAAGGAGTAGTTGAGCATTTTGGAGCAAAATAGTGATAGTTGTAGTAGCAGTAGCAGCAGTAACATAAATATTTACAATATTGAAGTAATAATAATAGCAGCAATAACAGACATTTAGTAGTAGTAGCAGTAACAGCAGTATTCATAGCAGCAGCAGCAGCAGCAGCAGTCGTAGTAGTAGTAGAAGCTGCATTTGTGATAGCAGCAGCAAAAGCAAAAGAACTGGTGGCAACAGTAGTAATAGTGGTAGTAGAAGTAGTTGTAGTAGTAGTAGTAGTAGTAGTAGTAGTAGTAGTAGTAGTAGTAGCAGCAGCAGCAGCAGCAGCAGTAGTAGTAGTAGTAGTAGTAGTAGTAGTAGTAGTAGTAGTAGTAGTAGTAGTAGTAGTAGTAGTAGTAGTAGTAGTAGTAGTAGTAGTAGTAGTAGTAGTAGTAGTAGTAGTAGTAGTAGTAGTAGTAGTAGTAGTAGTAGTAGTAGTAATAGCAGCAGCAGCAGCAGAAATATTTACAATATTTGTACTAGTAGCAGCAGAGGCAGCAAGTGTAGCAGAATTACTATGTCGATTTCGCACAATCTGAACAAACTAAAAGTAGCCACAGAAAAACTAAATGTAAAGACTAGAGGAAACCAACCGAACCATCGCTCACAGTTGGGCGGATAATCAATAATTCTTTACAGCCAGTGTTAACAACACAATGAGCTCAGGCAGTCGGTCAACCCATGAAACTGTAAACAATGCATACATCATCAGAGAAGCTAATACACTACGGAGATTTAACGGCAACCATTTTGCGGCCAGTATCAAGATTCATGATAGGGGGGTTCTGTCTTTCATGATCTCATAATGCGATATAAAACAAATACCATCCACACCCATCCATTGGTACTACAAGAAAAAGAAAAAAGGTCACTAATAACAGAAGTGGCAGCACTGCAATAGTATTAGTAGTAGTAGCAGCAACAGCAGAGGTTTAGTAGTTACAGTAAAAACAGCAGTATTCGTCATCGTATTAGTAGCTGAAGTAGTAGTAGTAGTAGTAGCAATAGTAGCAGCAGCAGCAGTAGTAGTAGCTGTAGTAGCAGCAGCACAGCCAGACACACTTACACACTGAAGCCATTTTATTTTGCAAAAATAAAGTTCTGCTATTTTGTGAGCTCTAGGGCCATATTATATATTGTGATTGGACACCAGCTCTGAGGGCCAGTAAAAATCGCTCGGCGGGCCAATTTTGGCATGCGGCCCATAGTTTGCCAACACCTGTTATAAACGGGGTGGATATGAGACTATTACAGTTTCAGCTTGTTTACTAAGTTAGATAGATCTTTAAATGAGATCAAGAGTGAGTGAGTGTGTGCGTGTGTCAGGGCGTCGATGTTTGTTTTAGTATCCAGAAGCCATGAGTTGTTAACCCTTAGGCTCGGTATTATGGATATCGCAACCTTTCGGCCTTGATTCCATTGTAAATACCGTAAATCTGGAAGAAAATGCGGCTTTCCTGTCTACCCCGGGACTGAACCCGGACCATAAGGAGTTCGTCACCCGGTCTCCGCGCAATCCGGTTTAGCCAACTACGCTAGAGAGCCGGGCAAGGGCGTCGATAAGATGGGCACGATGAGAACATGGGTTGAGGAGGGCGAGGGGGACAGGGCGCGGCGCTAAATCCCCTTACAAATGTAATCGATACCATAATTATAGGGTCAACAATAATCGACAGCTAGCAATAGATGGAAAGGTGATATCGCCAATACTACAACCAACACCATCACCAGCGATACTTCTGCTGCTGCGTCTATGAACACTACTACTGTTACTACAGACAGCAATACTACTAATGCTATTACTGCTGTTGCTACCACTACCACAGTACTACTAAAACCACCACTACTACATCTATTACTATTTCAACTGCTGCTGGTACCACAATTACCACAGCTTCTACAAGAATAACAACTAATTCTACTACCATTCCGACTGCTGATGATGCTGCTACTGCTACTACTACTACCACTGTTGCTACTACTACTACTACTACTACTACTACAAAAACAATTACTACTACTACTACCTACTACTACTACTACTACTACTACTACTACTACTACTACTACTACAACTACTACTACAAAAACAATTACTACTACTACTACCACTGTTGCTACTACTACTACTACAAAAACAATTACTACTACTACAAAAACAATTACTACTACTACTACTACTACAAAAACAATTACTACTACTACTACTACTACTACTACTACTACTACTACTACTACTACTACTGCTGCTGCTGCTACAATTACTACTACTACTACTACTACTACTACTACTACTACTACTACTACTACTGCTGCTGCTGCTGCTGCTGCTGCTGCTGCTGCTGTTACAATTACTACTACTACTACTACGACTGTTACACGTTTTACTGCTGCTAGGTTACTATCATCCCCACCACCAATGCGACTCCTTCTACCAGCAACCTAGCCATCACGTCTGCTACAACAATAAAAATAACATCTATTTCTAACACCACAGCCATCACCTCCACTACTATTACCATCACAAACACCACACCACTTCTATTACTCCTCTTTCTACTACTACTATTACTACTGCTACTACTACTTCATGAATGTATGTAGTTACAGCCCGTTCGTTGGTTATGATTACCGACCAGCTTACGAGAACAGCTGTCATAAAGGTTACAACCACGATTGTTATCAATGACAGTTTCATGGACCGACCTGGCCACCAATTGTTCTCCGACAGTCAACCAGCAGGCCTAAAACATGACTAGCACCAGCTGTCCTGCACGACTCACGAGCAGGCGTAAAGCAGGGGTGTCGACACAAAGAAAAATGTGACTCTCCTCCTTCCCTAACCCCATCATTGTGTTTTTAAAAAACTCTATCTGAAACTGGGTGAGGGACCCTCAAGGAACTTGTTTAAAAAATAAAAACAACAATAATGACAATGTGCTCAGTATAAAAATAAAAATAATATATTTGAACTAAAATATATACGTAGAAACAAAAACTTACAAAGAGAACTGTACCCTTTTAAAGGGAGGTGTGCAGTTAAGCCACCTAACGATTGGTGGGGGGGGGGGGGGGGCAGGGGCAGGCGCAAGCTGAGCCCCTTAACGTTTTTCGGGGGAGACGAGGGGACACACAAGATGCCTAAGCCCCCCCCCCCCCCCCCCCCAGGGACGTGAAGTGTGACAGACTTGTGTGAAGTTGTGACATTACAATGTGAATATATGAAGTGTGAGGGTACTGAACAGGCCAGGTAACGACAATAACCATAAGTAATGGAATGAGTGACGGGACTGTTATAACAAGTAAATTCTTCTTTTCTTCTTTCATTTTTATCCCCACCTACCTGTTATCCAAGTATTTTTTTTTTGGGGGGGGGGGGGGGGAGGAGGGGGGACAGAGGAAAGTGATGAAAAGGGATTTTTAAAAAAAGAAACGGGGAGAAGGTTTTTAATAGAGATCTTTTCTGTTCTTGATAATGCATTATTAAAACTGATCTTTATTTCTTTAGCGCTCCTCGTGACAACTATAAAAGGCGATGGGGTGCTTTTTTGGTCCCGTGATGAGAAGCCAGTCTTACAGGTCATCAAAGAACAACAAATGAAGTGGTTTGGACACCTAACAAGAATACGGGTCAACGGGTATAGAGCGAGTGGAAGACCTCGGAAAATATGGAGTGATGGCAATCAGAACAGCCTTACAGAAATGAACATCAGTCTTAATAGTGCTCTTGACAGAGCTCATCAAGGAACACTACATCTCCCCCCGACACTTTGATGAGGCACAAGGTGGAAAAGAAGAAGAAGAAGAAGAAGAAGAAGAAGAAGAAGAAGAAGAAGAAGAAGAAGAAGAAGAAGAAGAAGAAGAAGAAGAAGAAGAAAAGAAGAAGAAGAAGAAAAGAAGAAGAAGAAGAAGAAGAAGAAGAAGAAGAAGAAGAAGAAGAAGAAGAAGAAAAGACAGGTACCGGAGAACATACTGATGACAGAAAAGATCAACGGTAGAAAAGAAAAAGGTAGACTCAGGAGAGATGATGATTGACGGCCTGAAGTGAAAGCATGGAGAACTAGCACTAACGGAACTGATTCAAAACAGAATGGGCCCAGATATGTGGAGAGACATGATCGCCTACGCCGCCTGCCAGGGCAGATAACGAATATTCTTCTCAGCGTTCA